GTAGGCTCGATGGCAGAATACAATCCAAAGGAAGATTGGGAGTTATATAAAGAGCGTTTGGATCAATTTTTTGAGGCGAACCAGATTACACATGCACCATATTGCACAGCGACACTCATCACGTTAATTGGAACATCAACGTACCGAATTTTGCGAGATTTATGCAGCCCAGTTTTGCCAAAGGAGAAGACATATGCGGAGCTTTGTCAATTGTTAAGACAGCATTTTACTCCAGCGGTAGCAGTATTTAAAGAGAGGATTGAATTCTATAGTGCAAAGCAAGAGGACGGAGAAACTATCAACGATTGGTATTTACGAATTAAAAGCTTAGCTTCAAATTGCAATTTTCATCATTTGGAAGACATCCTCAAAGACAAATTTGTCACGGGAATGTTGCCAGGCAGAATTTTAAGTCGTATTTGTGAAGAAGATCCAACCAAGAAAGATTTGGAAGCACTCAAAGTTTTAGCACAAAGTTTGGAGGTGACGCTGAAAGAGAGAGACAACATTCATTTTGTGGGGCGAAGAAAATCTTCACAGTTGCAGGGGAAATCTGGACAACAGAAACGAGAGGTGCCGTCAAGGAGTTTTCAACCGATTCAAAAATCTTCAAGTAAATTCCAGCCAGGGGCTAATACGAGGTGCTACGCTTGTGGTGAGACAAATCATAATTATAAATTTTGTAAATATAAACGATATAAGTGTACTAACTGTTCAAAGTTTGGGCATATTAGTAAAGTATGTGCAATTAATATAAAAAAGCAACATTTTTTACAAGTTAACGATGAAGAAGTTGTTGAAACAGACGATTTTCCAGAGGCATTGTACAATCTATTTAAATTGAGCGATAAAGACATTGTAGATAGGCAAAGTTTATTTAGTATTCAGCTAGAAATAGAGAACATTAAATTTTGTTTTGAGGTAGATACGGGGGCTAGTGTGTCCATTTTGCCCGAAGGTATTTATAAGGAAAAATTGTCTATGATTCCATTAAGAAGATGTAGTACTAGTTTACAATGTTATGATGGAAAAATGATTATTCCATTAGGATCGATAAGGGTAAACCTATGTTATCAAAATAACAATTTTATGACAACTTTGTTAATTGTAAATAGTAATGGTCCACCATTATTGGGTCGAGATCTGATAAGTAGATTAGGAATTAAGTTAGTGGAATCGAAAAACAATAATGTTTATAGTATTAACGTGGTAGGGAATTCTAAGAGCTTGAACGCTTTGTTAGATAAATATGAAATCATTTTTCGTGACGAGTTAGGAAAATTTTCCAAAAGTAAAGTTTCTATTACCGTTCCAGTTAATACAAAACCAATATTTTGCAAACCTTATAATATTCCATTTGCATACAAGGCCAAAGTTGAGCAAGAACTTGATAGATTAGAGAAAATTGGCGTAATTACAAAAGTCGAAACAAATAATTGGGGAACACCACTAGTTCCAATTATTAAGAAAGATAATTCAATTCGTTTATGTGCTAATTACAAAATAACTGTAAATAAGTTTTTAGATAACTTCAATTACCCAATACCTTTAATTGAAGATATATTTGTAGCATTACAAGGAGGTGTAGAATTTACCAAATTAGATTTAAGCCAAGCATATAATCAGCTCATAGTGGATGATCAGACAAAATCACTATTAGCGTGGAGTACTCACAAAGGAGTTTATTTAGTTGAACGATTACCATTTGGGGTGAAAACGGCATGTGCAATTTTTCAAAAAGAAATTGATACTATCTTAAAAGGGTTAAAAGGAGTGTGTTGTTTTATTGATGACATTATTATAACAGGTAGTACTCGCCAAGAACATTTGCAAAATTTAGAAGCAGTTTTAGTTAAGTTAGCCGCTTCTGGTATCAAAGTAAAGCTAGATAAATGTGAATTTTTTAAAAGTAAAATTAATTATCTAGGTTACGTTATTGATCGAGAGGGGTTACACAAAGATAATGCGAAAATTCAAGCAATTAAAAATGTAAATAGGCCTGAAAATGTCACTCAATTAAAAGCTTTTATAGGTATGGTCAATTATTATGGCCGATTCATAAAAAATTTGGCAAATATTCTAAAACCGTTGTATGAACTATTGCGTAAAGATGAAAAGTTTCGTTGGAACAAAAGTTGCGAGGAGGCAATGGAGAAAGCAAAGGATGCTATTAGTTCAGATAATGTACTGATACATTTCAATCCAAAGTTACCACTTCAGTTAGCTTGCGATGCTTCTATGTATGGCATTGGTGCGGTTTTGTCACATATTGACGAACAGGGAATGGAAAGACCAATAGCATTCACTTCAAGAATTTTATCGAAAGCTGAGCAAGGATATTCAATGTTAGATAAGGAAGCTTTAGCTATTTATTATGGAATTAAAAAATTTTCTCAATATTTGCTAGGACATTCATTTACGTTGCTTACCGATCATAAGCCGCTTGTATCATTATTTGGGGAAAATAAAGATATGCCTGCGTTAGCAGCAAGTCGATTACAGAGATGGGGTATATATATTAGTAATTACGATTATAAAATTAAGTACATAAAGGGAACACAAAATTCTAGTGCTGATGCATTATCTAGAATGCCATTAGTAGTAAATTTTGTAGAAAATCTAGATGTACACCCTCAGCTCAATTTTATTGAAACTGAAAAATTAGCAAACTTAAGTCAAATTCAACAAGAAACTCAAAATGATACAGTACTAAAGCAAGTATATAACTTTATAATGAGGGGGTGGCCTAAATATTTAAATAAAGACGATGTTGTATTAAAACCGTATTTTGACAAAAGGAATGAATTAACTGTAGAAGAGAACATTATCATGTTAGGATATAGAATAGTGATTCCTGAAATATTACGAAAAAGTATACTTGAGGAATTACATTCCACTCATTTAGGAATTAATAAAACCAAGAGTATAGCTAGATCATATTTTTGGTGGAGCACAATGAATAAAGAAATTGAAAATTTGATATTATCATATGATGCTTGTTTGGTGAATAGACCAGAACCACAGAAATTAGTAAAACCATGGCCAAAAACAAATGAAGTTTTTGAGCGAATACATTTAGACTTTGCAGGACCGTTTAAGGATAAATATTTTTTAATCATAATTGATTCTTTCAGTAAATGGCCTGAAATATTTCAGTTAAATACAATTAATACAAAAATTACAATTGAAAAATTAAGGGAAACATTCGCTCGCTATGGAATTCCTAAAACAATCGTATCAGACAATGGAAGACAGTTCACATCATCGGAGATGAAAACCTTTTGCGAAAATAACGGCATTAAACATGTTTTTACACCACCTTACCATCCGAACAGCAATGGAGCAGCTGAAAACACAGTAAAAACCTTTAAAGCAAGTTTGAATAAAGCATTAAAGGATCCCAAATGCAGAAGTGCATCCATAGAAACACTGATATCAAGATATCTGTTGTGGTATAGGAATGCAATGCATAGCACAACAGGAGAATCACCAGCCCAAAAGATGTTTGGAAGGAAACTACGAATGAAGTTTGATAGGATTAGATCAAATAATAACATCGAACTGGAAGGCCAAGTAACAGACAAGAAGCAATGTTTGGTGGGGGCACAAGTTTATATAAGAGATTATAGAAATCCCAAAGAACAAAAATGGATTAGAGCATCGATAACAAAGAAGATCGGCGAGGTAATATATGAATGTGAAATTCCGGAAACCGGGACAACGCACAGAAGACATCGGGACCAGATAATACAAGTAGAAAAACATTCAAGGAGCACAGGAGACAAAGGAAAATCAAAAACTAAAAGGATAGGGTATGTACCGAAGACGATGGAAGAAAATAAGACGACATCAAATTTGGATGAGAGAAGCCACACGATTCAAAACGAAGTATTAGTTGAAGACGAAGTATTAGACAATATCGATCAAGGAATTGTTACTGCAAGTACACGACCAAAGCGTAATATTAGAAAGCCAGATAAGTTAGATTTATAGTTCGAAATAGAATTGTGAGGGGGTAGTGTTAGGTTGGCAATAAGCGAGTTTGGGACAAGAGACACTTGCAATAATGTAATTGTCAGAAGGTATGTACGTTTTATCCGTTAATGTTTGTAATATACAAAATCGTCCTGAATAGCGTTTATCATTGCTCTCGGTATTTATCCATACCCATCCATTTACCACAATCTTGAAAAAACTAAAATTCAACTGAAAATAGAAATTGACTCCCTTAAGTGTTCCTGTATAACTATGCATACAACGTGTTTAGTCTATCAACAATTCAATGCCAAAATGGATATAAATATCACTTTTAATATAAAACGCGTGATGGCGGTGAAATAACCTCGAAACATCCCAAAAAACTCACTGAAATCTGGATAAACTATCTGATCGAATTGACAGCACACTATGAAATGAATAAATTAATTTTGTTACAGATATATGCCGATCGATGTAGCTGTTAAAACAATTGCTGCCGCACCGTCAAACGCGCGATTTTAAATAGTCGTTAAGTTTTCTCCAATTTTTCAATTTTCTGCGCGATTTTCTTAGTTTTTCTTGCCGTAAGAACCTTCTACAGAGTATTACAAAACTTAAAAAAAAAAGATGGATGAAATCGATAAAGTCGTTCCAAAGTTATTGCGTGACCAGAAGAAACAGGGGTTCATTTTTATATATAGAGATAAAATCTATGAAATGATTTCTTTCCAATTTGGAAATACAAACTAACGATCTTTTAAAAAAAATTCTTCAAATATTGCTTCGATGTAGAAATCGCTAAAAATTTGATCCCCATATAATCATCCATCACCCCCAAAAATGCGTTGCGCTGAATTGGTTTTTACAACCCTTCGTCGTCGTCGTACAATTTTCAAGAAATTGTAACCATGATTTTCAATCTCTTCATCAGACAAAATAATTGAAACTGTCAAATAGTATCCTTTTCTACAAATTGTATTGGTTTATATACCTATATTCAACTATTAATTGATGTACAAAGGTAAAAGGGTGGGAAAGAATTTTGTGAGCTTTATTTTTTTTATATATACAATATTTAAAGTATTAAAATTCACACTTGCACACATCCATACCTGCTTACGTAATCTACACAATAAATACCTAACCAAATTTATATCACAGCTGAGAGATTATCAGAATGAAGCTTCGCTTCACCTTCGCCATTCGATAGATTATCTAAAACTAAAGACGTTTCGCCTATTGGCGCGGCCGAATCTACCAAATTTTGTGCAGTTATAGACGTATCATTACTGTCACAGGGTGTTACCACATTCCTCATCGTGTTGGCAGACCTCACTCGGCTTCTTCTAAAACTGTTGCGGAGTATGCTTGCAACATCTGCGATTGTAAGTACACCAGAACTTGATCTTCGATGTTCGGCAAGCTCGCGACCGAAAGTGCTCAAGTTCGTATCATTTCTGTCCGTAATAACGTTGACACTTGAAAGACCGTTAGTGTGCGACTGATTCATTTCTACCAGAACGTCGGTGTAATCTGGTGGAGGTACCTGAACAGCTGGTAGCGTGGCGCGATTTCTTGAACTGCTCTCGCCTAAGGCACTTGTTAACCTTCTCACACTTCGTCGGATGCTCTGTCTTAAAAATTTTGCTATTCTTGCTCCAGTTGCCGTTGTGTACGAGGGAGGGGGTGTATACTTTGGGGGTGGATCTTCTGATGAAGCCACAGTAGCAGGGATTCCAATTACAGCAGTTGCAGTTGTAGTGGTAGTATTTGCAGAAGATTGTTGAGCAGGAATTTCCTCCATATGTTCACCAATGGGTGGCCGATATAATAATTGCACTCTCTAAAAAGAAGCCATTAAAGAAATGTGTCTTTGATGTGTAATCATTGGAATACTAACGTAATACGCTTCTGCTTCCAACTCCTTGCAAGCAGTAACAGTTTTAAGGTAGGTATATTGTGTTCGTAAATTATTAACGATAGGTACTTACGTCTAAAATATCCGCAGGTCCATTGTTTAAATATCTGTAGCTTTGAATAACTGCCACGATAGGTACACAAAGAACTGGCAGTAGCTGCAGCATGGATCCAACTTGCCTCGCCCACAGTGGCCAGTAATCAGAACTTGGAGCATGATGCCAAACAAACATTTCCCTGAAGTTTCCATTTTTAAAAAATGTCACGCAACACACCATTAGTCCCACTGGTAAAATAACGTTCCATGTAAACGACAAGAGAGCTGGTGCCCAAGTGAGTAGGCAAGGGCGTGATTGAGAAGCAAAGAATGTGTTCACCAGTGCATCTCCACTGTAAGGTCTGCCTCGTACTACGAATACCGCTACAATTTTCAGTAAGATGATCAAAATTAACCACCACATTCCTCCAATTGTAAAGTCCATAAAGTACACCAAGTATATACCATACTAAAATAGCGAAGTCATTCATCAACTTAAACAAGTCTTACCTTACCTCTGTAGCCATAGGCAATCCTAGCAAGAAACCGCATGCACAACTAAAAAACGTTATGGTTGTTTCCCATGACTTTAATAAATTTGCTTTTATCGCCATTATCCCCGTAATTACACAATGCCATATTGCCAATTGTTGAGCTATTCCGAATAGTATTAGGATAAAATAGAACAGTACAGCCCAAAAAGGGTAAATTTCTTCCGTGCCCATTATAGCAAACGTAGCTGGTACCAACTCGGTTGCCAGACGAAGGGCCTGAAAAAAAAAGATTATTAAAAGCATAAATTATGGAGATGGAAACTTTGCATTATTATGGAACAAATGATCTGCCAAATCACATTTCGATTTGTAGCAGAAAGATTGATAAGGACGATTGTGAAAAATCACGGAGTGCTTACCTGATATCCACTTTCCATGGTCGGGTCAATTCCGTTTTTTGTAACTCTCTCTCCAACAATAAACGATTGATGTGGCATATATCGAACGGGAATTGTGGTTAAGCTTGCCGGCAAATTAGAATGTGAAGATTGTAAGAAACTGTACGCGCTTATTTTTTCTATAAACAACGTAACAATTAGTAACATTGAAAGTGCTTTAATACAACTTACCGAAAGACGTCGGAATATAATTGTAACCATGGGAACGCAATAACTGAACACAAGTGTTTGCTAGGAACGCAGTTAGTAATAAAATAGCAAATGTGATAATAGCTATAAGACTAGAATCGCGTTGTAGGAGATGTTTATTTTTATTATGTGAGGCTATCTGCATAGTAGCGGCGCCTAATAATCCCCATGTGAGAAGAACTTCTTGACTCGCCGCGACCCAACTCTGCAAAAAAACACAGTTGCCTTAACGATCATTTAAAAATGCGCCAAAAGATTAAAATGAATGAACGCTAAAAAGAAGATAGGTACTAGATCTCATGATAACGTACCCTAGAATTTAGAAAAAATTCATTCCACGAGGTTTCCGGAAAGACCGCATACACAAAACTTGATGGGATCATACTAAGCATTTTGGCACTCACTATAAAAATGCCAAGCACTGGCAATAAAGAGAATACATAAACCACTTTTCCATAGGAACGTAAGCCTTTGCTTAGTGACACAAACACAATCATCCACACAACAGCCAAGTTGAAAGCTAATTGGAATTTAATTGTACCAGAATACACTCCAGATTTTAAATGGTGCCTTTGTAAAACAATTCCGCTAAAGTAATCAGGAACGGTTTGGCATATATTGTAATTTGAACCGTTGTCATTTGGATTAAAATCTGAAACGCCAGATGATAATTACACTGTATTATACAGAACAAGTTACCTCTATAATAGTAGTACGGTTCTGCCCAACGATATCGGTCATCTTTTGTTATAAAAGAATCTCTAAAATATACAAAAAGCCACGAGACGCCAATTATACTATACAGTCCGATAAACGCTTGCGACACGAGCAAGGCAACTCCAACTCCCTGAAAGAGCGGCGATATCCTCCACATATCAATCACTCCGGCTCCTAGTTGTTGACCAAGGCATAGTTGCAAAGTAAATAACGGCAGTCCTATTACGACGGATAGTAGAAGAAACTGTATTAAAAAATTAGCCCCGTAATGTGTGGATAGTATGGCAAATCTTGATATATTGAAAAGCCCCACGGTACATCCCAGACAAGCAAGCATCGAGCTTAGGCTGTGTGGCCAATGACCCAGAGGACTTTCAGCTTCTGGCATGTCGTTCGGTCTTGATCTTTCGCATGGTCTGAAACAAAAGAAACGTGAATTATCATCGAGTGTATATACTACCGCGCTGCAGTACCGCCAGGGATAGTGCAAATCTTGCAAATTTGCCAACTCTAAATCTACGACTGCATAATTTGGAAGCATATTATGATGTGAAAAGTAGACATTAATAACAGCGTGTAAAGTTCGTGCCGTAGATAAATGTCAGGAAAAGGTAAACAGTAACTTAATCTTATACACACAAAACCGTCGAGTTTATCAACTAGGAGTACTTATGTGTACTCTGCGATAGTGACAGATACACCCAAATTATGCATAACATAGTAAATTGGTCTATACAAAATTGAGCGCTACAAATAAAAGCACATAAATATGTGCTAAACACAAGAATATGCATAGGTAGGTACCTTGTTGTACCACACTGATCCATATGCAGAGATAATCCAAAGATAATCCAATATCACCAACTTTGGATCCGGCGATTTTGTTTTTGAATTTCGCATATATTTTGACACATGCATGTATACAAGGTGCCCCAAAAAAGCGTGGCATAAAACATACTTTTTCCTTAAATACAAATACTCGTATATTATTGAATTTTTGAATTCTCCAGAAATTGATTTGGACTTTATGTCCGCCCGTTTGTGTACCTACATGATAATTTGCGTAATTCAGTAATAGGTAGACAATGGTCTAGGGACGAACTGATTCAATTTTGGTCATTTGAACTTTCTGCCCGTCCGTCTGTGTACGTGATAACTCGCGGACGGTTTCGAATATTCCAAATCTGTTTACAGTATTATGTATTAATAATAATAGTATTGATTGATTTTTTTCAATACCAACCTTAACTTCAACTTACACATTGAATACCTAACAAATGAGTGTTACAAACTTCTTAGTTTCGTTATTAGAAATACACGCAATTTCACGAATATACAGACAATGCTAACCTTATATAATGCGTTTATTAGATCCAAGCTTGAGTATGCTCCATGTATCTGGTCTCCTCAAACTGTCAAATACTCAGACATGATCGAAAAAGTGCAGAAAAAGTTCATCCGAGTAAAATAGTACTTTCGGCTTAAATATAACGATGTTAGAAACCCGACGGTACATTGCCTCCACAATTTTTGTCTTCAAAATTTTACACAATTTGTTAAACTCTTCCGAATTACTTCAAGAAATTAAGCTTAAGGTACCATTTGTTAAGCTAAGGCAAAATAATACTATTTTTGCAGTTAACAACACAACTTCCCCACTTATTAAGATTTTGATGACTTTAAATAAGTTGTCCTCAGTTAATGATATCGACTTTTTTCACGATCCCCTAAATTCAATAATAAATAAAATTAGATCTTAAGTCCTAATATTTGTTCAGAGCCCCAGTGCCATGTAATTGGATTTTTATTCTGTATGGTTTCTGGTTAAACAGATAAATAAATAAATAATAAATAGATTATGTTATCACTGAAAATTTAATCAGTTGTTCCTTGGATGATGATAAACATAATACTAAAACCGTTCTATCATCATTGTAAATAAGTGGACGGAGTTATCGTATACACAGACGGAAGGACGGACGGACGAATGGACGGATGGACAGGAAGTCTGAAATCATGAACTCGCTTTTAGGAGGTCGTTAATAAGCCACGTACGTCTGATATTCTCAAATAGCGCATTCGTGATGACATTGTGTGTACCGAATGTTAGTTGACCAATGCTAGACTGATGGATGTTTGCACAATGTGAATGGTGACTAAATTTTTTAAACGCGGCCGAATCGCGATCGCAACAACGCTACAGCTACAGCTAAACTCTGATATTATGTGAAGCCTTTCTAATGGGTGATATAAAAATCCCAAAGGTTTTAATGTACCTATCAAAAGCGGAACTTTATTCTTACAAAGCACATTTAACGAAGGCATTCATAAACCTTCCAATTTTAGGCGTGGGAAATAATATCGGGCATACCACCTCTCTACTTTGTGGGCATTCCAAAGCTCTCTTCATAAAATTGTCAAATAGCGTCACAAACTTGCATTTCGATTTCGCCGATAACTCGTCGAATTTCTTCTTTTAATTCGAGGATATTTTGGGGGTGTATTGGCGTAAAGCAATGAGGTAACATAATCCCAAAGAAAGAAATGGTGTTAAATCGTCCTGTCTCATAAAAATAAAGATTCTATGACTCCCCCCCCCTCCAATCCACACCAAGCGGTTATTCACTGCAGATGAATTTCCCTTTCATGAACCAAATGGGGATTTTCCAATCACCAAGTATGGCAATTCCGTTTGTGGAAATGTGCCTCGTCACTGAAAGTAATTTTCCTCGCGAAGGCATCATTTTCCTGTTGTCTCGTCGGAGCCCAGTCAATCAAATCACGTCTCTTGTGATGATCGGGTGCTTTCAACTCCTGGGTTAATTGAATTTTGTAGGGACGGTAATGAAACGGGTTTAAAGAATTTGCTGCAATGAAGAATACCATATGCCTAACTGTGGGCTAGAGCATTGATATTGTATTGACGCGACGCAATGTTTTCATCAGCTTGACCAAAATGGGGACGTCCGGATAGGGTTTTGAGTATTGGCTGTTGATGCCGTATCTCTGAACTTCTTAATAAGTCTGTGCACTGTTGATTCATTCGGTGCTTCATTACGTCCAAGTATCTCACAAACTCAGCGGACAGTTACTGCATACCGTTTACTGTTTTGATCAAATGTTTTCACAATTTATTTATTTATTGTCCATCTCTTGTTATGGGTCCTCAATAGGCTTTCGCTCAATTACATAGTGACCCGCATAATGCTTTTTAGGGGTGCCTCTGTAAAATGTCTTAAGTGGATCGCTACCTTCTCGAAAAGCGTTTCATGATGGTACAGAATTAATCGGAATGTTAGTAGACCCTCACTCATCAAGTATCCGTTACAAAGAAGTCAACAACAAAGTCACATCTAAGATAGTAATTACATCAAATCTAGTGTAAATCAAAACAAAAGTGAAGTTTCAGAAGCTTTTACCAATTCGGTTTTGTGCTCCTTGTGCGATTAAATCCTAAGGTAATTAAAACTTTATTTAAATTTAATTTCAATCGAATGCATGTGTATATGGTATTTGTTAGTTAAGGAACTGAGTGCTTATTTTTGTTTCAGTTTTATTGATTGATTTTGTAAAATAAATTTGTGTTGTCTGTAAATGATTAGCTTTGTTTTACCGAGCCCAAATTACAACCCAGGATATGAGTTCTCATCTTTAATTTTCTATTCGTGACCAGGATTATATCAGGTGTTAGTTAAAAATGAAATAATTCTTTTGAATTGTGGATGTGATCCAGTCTGCTGTATTTTTTTAATTGTCAATTAGAAATTTGACATTGCACATACAAATACATATAACTGAAGCATGTAAGATCCGGTCTTAGAGATTAAAACATAACGAGAAATAGGTATACAGTGATATTCATTTAGAAGTAGAGATAGGGATTTGTGTATTGTTTTCCCTATGTATACTTTTAAATGACAAAAACTCTTCTGAAGGACGCCTGATTTTATGCAACCAAAATAACTTCTTAAAACAAATGAAGATTTTGCTGTCATATTAATTAATTGGAATATTTTATTGCTTTGGACAGTATTTTGGATGAAAGGGAGAATATCAACTTGCATCAAGTAGATCTACAAATGACATATTAACAGTAGGTATCACAAGCATTCGCAAATTAACTCCATCAGAGGCTGGAAGCAATCAAACCCCCCCCCCCCCTCATATGTGATGAAATACAAAAAATACCTTGCAAAAGGTTTATTAAAAAAGTGTTTATATTTATCAATCTCCATCACCATTGAAGGAGCAAGTTTAAATTCGAAGATAATGGCCGAAAGTGCATAAATGAAATTTATTTATTTGGTTACAACGTGTCGAGGTACTTTCACATCTAAATTGGTGACATATTTTGATCCGCACATATGTTGTCATGCGAGATCACCAAGCAATCGTCAAAATTTACCTAGTTCGTAATCATTCTTAAAATAGCCATAAAAACTATTGATATTTGTTATACCGTAGGGCGTAGGCCGTAGCTAATTCTACGTGATATTTCAGGAATGAAAGTTAAGTTGTTTGCTCTAGAGATTGCCGAAATATTTATGCATTCACTTATATAGTTCTGATGGTGATAATCATAAGCAAATTTCCGATTTAGTTTTATGCATGAGACATGTAATCAGTTGATGACAAACATTCTTAAGGCCGGTCCAGACGCTACGTTTTGCACAACGTTTTGTCCTGCGCAGTCTTAAGACGGAATGAAAACGTTGCAATTTTAGAGCGTCAACATGGTGCAGAGATACTGTATACAGTAGTCTATATTCAAAGCTGTATACTATCGGAAAACGGAGCTACCGTCTACAATGCGCCGACTTGTCCGCGCAGTTAAAGGATATCTAGGTATTATCTATGCTCTCTAGCTCAGTTATCGCTGCAATTGTACCGTCTTCGCGCTGATTTCAAAACTGCGCATTTTTCCTATCCACAAGCAACGTTTTATCTGCAACGTGTTGAACTGTGCAGACAAAACGTAGTGCAAAACGTAGAGTCTGGAACGTTTCATATAAAATTCTACACTTGAGACAGTTACTATAATTATATGTGTAGATGCAGAAATTACTTTAGTGAAAAGTAAAACAAAAATTGCATGTTTCTCCAAAATGATGTTCTGTCGCTTTTTATGTTGCTGGTCAGTGACTCACACTCCATTAATTTAAATGAAATAGGGTGGTTTTTACTGATTTTTTAAATCCTCCGCAAATTTCAATTACATTTGTTGCAAGTGACTTTCTCCCTAAACCGAATATTATCGAAATTTTGATTAAATTTTCATCTTCAGAAAATGATTACCTTTTTACTTAATGAACGTTTTTATATGAAAGAAATGACAATAAATTAGTAGGTACCTACAGTTTTTATTTTCATATAATCAGGGTTGCAGTTGGATATTCTGTATAGGTATACTTACTCAAAAAAACTGCATATTATAATTGGTTAGTGGTGTTTGGTTCATTTAATTTTATTCAAATGTTATCCCCCTTGCGTAATATGGAATTCATACAAGATTTAACGTTTATTTACATATACATGTATTCCTTTGAGAGAGTACCATTATGCATATAACACGCCTAATTTTTTGCTTACAGCAAGGTCCCCAATATAAGTAGTGACCACAAATCACGCAATGTGAACAATTCGTGTCGGGCTTATTATTTTTTTTGTTAAATTATGTGGTGCAGAACATATCAAGTTTTACAAGCCGCACGTTTGAAACATTACAAAGAAAATATGAAACTCCATTTCTAAATTAAAATAGAAACGCAATTTATCCACCCATATAAAATTAAAATCGGCCCTTCTTCGCCGACTTTTTAATTAAATTGCGTGTTTCTGAAAGTGATCGTATCAAAAATGTATTATGATCGCTCCAAGGCGTGCGTGAAGTAACAAATGAAAAAGAAATTTGCGGCACTCAAATTTGGGACGCACGAAGCAATTAACATTATTCTGGTCAAGGCATAGACGCACTAGAAACACTATAGCGCAAATATAGCATTATTTCATACTGAAGAGTAATTATTGTTATTTAAACTTTTCACTTGAATTAACGCTATTTTCACAAACTTATTTTGTTCGCGTATACATGATCCACGTTTTCCTTAATAAGAACTGACACTGATGAATTACGCAAACTTAAAACTAACATCTTTATTGTACTCATGACACTATCGTAATAAAATTCAATGCCACAAATGAATTTAGAAAAAAGTTTTCCCATAGGTATCTGGTATCTCTCACCGAGAAATGGAAAAATACCTTAGACAAACATCTAACGAATTCATTATTTTTATTTCTTTAAATAATCGACAGTGATCTCAATAATTATTATAGCTGTATCTGTATCATTTATACATATATACATATATACATAGCAGTCGCTTTATTCTAATTTAATCAATTGATCAATGTGAGTAACATTTTAAAATCATTTTTAATGATCCCCAGATCCGTTATAGTTTTGTATTGTCGCCCGCCTGTCCTTCCGTCCGTCTGTGTGCGCTCTAACTCTTTTTAAAAGTGACCGATTGTGTTTAAATTTGGTCTACGGGTATGGACATTAAGGACGGACGCTACTAATTTTCAGGAAGCTGGTTCAACAGGAACAAAAGTTTTAGAGCAAAATGTATCCAAAATTATACTTTACGCATGACTTTGGAGTTGCAAAAGCTTTCAAACGCATTACCTTGATGCTGAAAAAGTACATCACGTGCAAATTTGATAACCGCATGTGTGTGATTTAAAAATGTTAAATTATTTTCTGAGGACACATGGATTTTGATCAAAACATGACAAAATCGTTATTTATGCACCAAGATCGTTGGGAAAAAGACTAAGAGCAATATCTCAACGCCTAAGACATGAATTTGATGCATTTTTGGCGGCCACGTGGGTCAAAACATGCCAGAATCGTTATTCATACACCAAGATTATTGGGAACAAGATTCAGAGCATTTCCAAGACATCAATTTGATGCATTTTTGTTAACCATAAAATGTATTTCGTTAGATTAAAATAAATGGTCGTTAAAAAGGTGATTGTAATACTGAGGATCCTTCGATATTTTGTTGTATCGGTTTATTTATACGAGAAAATGCAGAAGAGCATAATCTAGATACCTAAGACGTCAATTTGATGTATTCCACAATGTAATGTGAAATTTGGTAAAAGTGATGCAAAACGTATTTTCTTCCTTTATTACATTTTCGATGACCACAAGCATTGATTAACGTACTCACGGGAATGGGTTAATCATTGCTATACAAGATATCGAAATCACCATGTGTACAACAATTGAATTGGGAAAACAATCTCAATGCCAAATCAGTAAATGAGCCATTTTTTGACTACAAAAATGTAATTGTCATAGCCGAGAGTTAAGCAAAATCGTAAAGACGTGGAAGCTTTCCCTTCCTCATGACTGGATTTTTGATATGACTTATTTATCCATACATTAACTGATGTAAATCTACATACCTCTTCCAACAGCAAAAGGGGGACCCCTCTATACTATATGGACGTTGTGGTATATAATCAATTAACGCAATTCAGATTTTTATTTTAATATCGGAAAACCATGGAGAAATAAATAAATAAACACACAAAAATTACATATTATTGCTTCGAGCAAGTTTACAAAGAACTGTACTGTTGCACTTTTAGTACAGATAATTTACATTGCAATAGCCACTTCTTACGCCAGATAGGAAGCTTGTTTGGTTTAGTTTTGATAACGCTTGTGGCTTTTCAAGTTAAAAGACAAGCAAGAGTTATCTAAGACGGAAATGATTGTCGAAGCGATTATATAGACCGAACAATAGTAATGTAGGTGTATCTTTTTATATGATAACGGCTAATTGAAGTTATACGGAATGACACAATTCAATATACCTAAACCATGCAACAAATAAGTACAGTAATGATTTTGACCATCTAATATCATCTATGACTATTCAATTCATCTAACATTTGTCACATTTCGACCAGTGAAATGTCGCGATTTCGAATTACTGAGCCAATGGGAACGAATTATAGTGAACATTTAGAACATGGGTGGCAAACCCAAGGTTAATAGAGCCTCGTAACTTTCAGCCAATAAACGTTCAGTATTAAAATACGCGAGTGACGTCACCCAGAATCCCATTTTGTCCACATCATAAACAGAGCAAGTTCAAGAAATGCAAAATGGATCGAAATGGTACTTTACATGGATGTGCATTGCATAGAAAGAAACATGCTAGCGAAATATTAAACGCACTTTATTCAAAACAGCTTACCTAGTCTTCGGCCGGGAATGCAGACTGCACAGTCTATTGCATACGGGGTTCAGCCTGAACCTGAACCGTTCAGATTCCCCTTTCAATTGCACTTTATAACCCATTTTTTTTGTAATACAGGAATTACCTTTTGGAAAAGCAAAAAACTGAATCTGCGATCCATTTGCTTTCGATTTGTTGGAGCTGCTATTGCATATAACAACGTCATAAAGATTTCCATCCGGCATCTAATACCCTATATTGATACCTACTTAAGTAACAGTAAGTATTCAATCGAATTATAATGAGTATACGTAAGTCTTCAGCATTATCTGACAATTAAGTACTTACACAGTTCAAATATATGTAACTGTCAAAGTCAACGAAAATTTCAACACCAATCAAATGGGACTTCCGGATTCTCGATGACGCGTCTCTGTAAAGTTACGAGGCAACCTACTCTCTCTACTAACCTTGTGGCAAACCTTTAAACCAGACGGGCCAATATGAAAAGTAAGATTTCCCCCCGGGCAACTTTTTTTTAGCGCATTTTTTAAGAATTAAAAAATGTGTTATTGTTTGCGTTTTGTCCGTCCGTCCGTCCGTCCGGACCCACTTCTGCCGTTTTGAACTACTTCTAGGGGAATGGTCCTAGTCCTGGAATTTTTTTGCAGTAGGTAGCCTATACCTTGAAGGTGGGCCAGACGGCCATCAAATTTCGGTGTCTAAAAGGGGCCCCCCCCACGAATTATTTCCTAAGATGCTGTTTTTGAAAGTAAAACGTGCATAACTTTTACATACGACAACCAATTGATCTCAGATGAGGAGAGGAATGATGAGGAATTAATTTCTACCAACCATAGCCCTCCTCCTCGACCTCTTATCGTGATCGGGTATATTCCCTTAATACCTCAAGAACGGATTGTCGGAAGAGGGTACTCACAAAGGGCGATTGAGACGTCTCACGTCTGCAAGAAATATATCCCTTGGTGATGTAAAAACAAAAGCTATTTCAGTTTTAAAAAATGCGCTTTATCTGCACAAGAGTTGTGCACAATTTACACTTGTGTTAATTTGAATTAAGCAAACGGATTTTGTTACATATTTAAATAGCATCCAAACTCCTAGGGGTTTTGATTCTATGTAATACATTTACAACCACGTAATAGATGGATTTATTAACGCGCTCCTAAAAGCGAGTTCATGAATTTGAACTTTCTGTCCGCCCGTCTGTATACATGATAACTCGCGAACGATTTCGAATTTTCCAATTATATTTTCAGTATTAGGTTTATCATAATCCAAGGAAGAACTGATTAAATTTTCAATGACCCAGGAGCTCGTTTGAAGTATTTGGTTAAAATTTTACGTGAAAATCGACGATGAATTGGGATGTTCTTTCGTACCTTTTTTTTTCAATAAAAAACAAAACTGTGCCATAATATTTACATACTTCCTTCAATTTCCAATTTCTACAGAAACCATAAGCGTCCCATGACATCGTTTAGTTACGAAACTGAATATTATTATTATTAATCGTTTTAGATTATAGAAACACTATTAGCTGATAGAGGCTGCTGTCGCTGTCCTTCATTAAACATATTAATTTTTGTGTACCTAGTTGAATGTTACACATTTTTTTAGACATTTATTCGCACAAGTTTCCAAGAAATCAAATCGTGTTGGTATCAAATAACAACGCAAGTGCGAGGACGTAAAGTCACTCCATGCCATGGTATTCACTCCCTCCCCCCTCCTTTTGGGATTTTATGAAAAGATAAGAGAAAAGACGGCAACGAGCGTAAAATTTCAGGTGGTAAATTAATACTTTTTAACACCTGTATCGTTTTTTTTAAATTACCTTTGGGTCAAAAATATCGAAGAAATGAAGATTTTCATGAAATAAAAGAACCATGACCAGAAATAAACTGTGAACCTCGCCTAGGAATATTTTCACCCCTAACTCAATTAAAACTTTAATTTTTAGTTCTCTCTTCTGGGCGATGAAAACATTTGGTTCCTGGGTATGGATATAGCATGTGCAAAACCAAATTTTAACTCTGATGTTAGTTTTGTTTTTATTTAAAGTGTATAAATATATGAAATTTCATTTAATTGCTTCCATAAATAAGAAAGTTGGCACTGCACATCCTACACACAACCAAATTTGGAAAATAACGCTACATTTGCTTTTATTCCAAGTGGCTATGTGTCAAATTTCATTTAAATACGAGTACCTTCATAAATAAAAATGGTCGAGATTCGAAAAGGGCACTGTGAATGTTGATCGATTAGGCTCAATTTTTGGAATTGCGTTTTATATGGCTAAAGCTATACGCATATTGAATTTCATGCAATTCGGTTCATAACTCACGGAGATGTCAAAATTATTTTTGGGTTGCACTGCCAATTCACGAACTCCGATCTACAAATTTGATAAAGAATCCACCGGACAGACGGACAGACACCGCAAAATTATAAACTCGCTAGGAGCTCGTTAATAATGCTCAGTAAATGCTTAATGTTTAAGGAAAGTGTCGTCATGTAGACATTCAGCCCTTTTCTTTCTTTTAGGAATATTGTTTTAATTTTCATTCAATGTATTTTGGAATAAATTTTTGTCTTTGTCAATCGATCAATTGTGTATTTATTCGAACCTATTGTGGGACCCGGATAGAGTATCGAGTTGAACGAGGCCATGAGTCACCTGAATTATTAATTCAGGCTAATATTCGGACTTTTCTTTGTAGCAAATTTCGGAAGTGTACGAGGAGAAATTATAAAAATTTTAAGTTTGAATTTTCATTTGGTTAAGTTAGCTGGACAGAGGCGTATGGGTGGTGTAGTTGACCCCATACCATTGCACACAACAATTTAAAAAAACTGAATTAAAAATAATGGCTAAATTTGCGGAAGTTTCAAGAAAGGCGGAGAAGGTACTTTTCCTCCACATAAAGTAATCTACTATTTAATAGCGAAACAATTGCACTGCGATGAAAGAAATGTAACATTATGAACGTTATCGCAAATGCCAAGTTTTGTTCACTTGTTCAGAAATTTACATTCTGTGGTGCGGTGTTTGTAAAACAGGATATGTCACGTAAAGTTTCTGGATTATTCTTCAGATGTCATATTAAGCCATGTGTGCTTCTTTATCTTTACCATAATTAGACAATTAAAAAGATCTATATCAAAACAGACGTGCCGGTTTATTTATGATAACTGAGATCTTTAGTTTTAAAATTTGTTATATTTAATTGACTTCCATAAGGTTCCGTAGTTGGTCAAAATACTTGGGGCACAAGTCGAGTAATTACACCGCAAGTCCCACAGTTGGTTGGTACTAGCATAGTACTAAGGTACAGGTACTAGTTTAGGAGCTGTTGTAGAAGCAAAACGGTTAAAAAGCAAAAGAGGTGTGTACTCCTTTGATCAATCAATAGAACGCTATACCAATTTGTAGATATATGCAAAATTAGCAGTCACTATTTGTGTTAAATTCAGATTGTTGCTAAATATAACTGCAAGGTGATTGTCTACCTACGGGTGCCCGTGTATAATTTTGCAATAAGAAAAGCATTGGGAAACGATTGGCGTGGGTTTGCAAATCATACCAATGCCAAAGTCGTAATAATAAAATACCATTTCAGTTAAATGTTGCTTCCTGTTTTATATGAATTTAGGTGTGCTTACTTGATATATCTATCTTTTCATACGTTATTTGTATGTTTTCGCATAAATAAGGAACAGGTGGAGACATAAATTTACAAATAATTTAAATTTTGTTGTAACAAGGACAAATTCTTCAACATTGATTAAAAGTGCACAAAATAATGACCATCAAAATAGTAATCGTCATTATAGATGCCAAATTGAAAGATAATCGATGTATGGACAAGCGACATGATTTTATTACATTCAACAGAGTAATTTAATGTCTATATAATCTATATTGTATAGGGCCTTATTGCAAATGTAATTAAAATATACATCAGAAGTTCACTAAGAGTCGGTCTTTTTGTTTTAGTGAAATCTATGGAATAGGTAAAAATATGAATACATTTTAGCATGAAAGACCAAGTCTTTCGGCTTATCGATCTTCTGTAAAAGTTAAACACCCGAGGGTGCAGTTTGTTGGCGGAGACGAAGTTAAATGGCGAAGTGCAAATTTCTAAGAACCTAAGATCCAAATAGTTTATAGCATTACCATTGCTCATTTGTTATGATATAAATAAACGTCAGTTACATTGTAAGATTCTCGCAACTCGGCAAAAAAGAATATTCAAAAAACTAATAAAGAATACTTTTGGTTTCGTTGTGTACCCGCACCCCTTTTTTCCGATAACTCGAGACCGATAGCGAATTT